CGCCTATTTTATTTGTTAGTCCTTTGTACGCTGCGTTTTTCTTAAGTGAGTCCTAGTAGTTGATAATAACAATGACGAATTATCTGGTCTGACTGGTAATGCACCGCCGGCTACTTAAAACTTAATGAATGTACGTGTATATAGTAATGTTTCGCTTGCAATCGTCTGCATGCATTGCGTAATGTACACACCATAGCATTCATAAGCCAATACGCCAAATCAGGGAAGATTCACCGCCGACTATGTATGCCAAAGTTGTACTTTCGCGCATGCGTCGCCGTGGAAGAAAGACAGTGAATACGGCTCTACCTGGGCTGCCCCATAGCTCAAGCGGTTAGTCGCTGGCTTCCCACGGCGGCGGCCCGGGTTCGATCCCGGGTCTGGTCAAGTGGGATTTGTGGTGGACAAAGTGGCGCTGGGGCATGTTTACCCCGAGTACTTCGGTATCCCCTGCCAATCTTCATTCCACCAATTGCTCCACAATCACCCTCACCTATCATCTGGGGCTGGTACAATAAGCCAGAAGTGGCCGCAGTACAAGGGACTTAGTCCCACCCCACTATCAATAAAAAAAAAAAAAGAATACTGTTCCATTGTACTTCCAGGTCGGGCGGTTGCGATTCCGCATGACTGACTTTAGACTAAGATTCATCAGCGTGTAATAGGCTTTTATGGCAGACCAACAAAACTTCGAAACATAAACGGGAGCGACTTTTGTTAATTGCTCTAAATCTGTCTATGGCTCTACAGTCCTTGTGGGCATTGGCCGCGTTTTCAGTTTCTTAATCCTATACACAGAAGGTAGGACTCTTTGGGAGGGGCAAGGCTGTTACCTACACACAGAACCACACAAACACAGGATAAACGCACACAGACATCCATGCCTTGAGGGGGATTCGAACCCACGATTCCGGTGTTCGAGTGGACGAAGACGGTTCATGCCTTGGACCGCACGGCCACTATGATCGGCAACTACTCCAAAGCAGATCAAACAAAAACTCAAAATGAAAACAACAGAATTAGAAACACGTCCGATCAGGATCAATTAAAAACCACGTACAGAACCATTCACCTGAGTTTGTAAGACTTATTCTACTGAAAATGAAATTACTAATCATATGAAGTTAGGAAACTTACCTTGCGATATCACGGTGTTTCTGAAACTTGATCCAAAACATGAACAACGGCTCTGTGGGACTCCCTGGAAAGAGGAGAACGCTTTAATCATATGCCTGTACAAAAGTTTCAGAATCAGCCGCTTCCAGCCATCTCAGTAACTATGTAACAAAATCATATTTATGGTGGCGGATATTTGTTTGTTCTTCTCAGTTTGTCACAAATAATATAGATACAAATTTACACACGCCTACAGTGTTTCAAGATGTTCAGGATAAGGTCCTATGGCGGGCATCTGCAAACACTATAGCAGTACACAATCTAGTACTTGCTGGTTCAATAAAAGCGAAGATTTATTGCTGTTAAGCAACTATTACTTACTTACTTACTTATGGAGCTGAGTCCTTCTTGAAGAGAAGCGAAATCTGCAGCTACTCAAGAATTTCCCAGCATTTTATGGAACCCGAAGGTTCATTACCGTGTTCACAAAAGCCAACCACTGGTCCCCATCCTGAGCCCGATCAACTATTAGTTTTTTTTAACAACCTTAATTATGCAGTTACGCTATTTTACTTTCTTATTTCCGCAGTATATGTGAGGAGGGACTGTGATCGCATAAAATATAGATCGCGAGATTCTGATGGATTTGCATATTTTGAGACCCCATGAATATGAAGAAAGGTCTGTCCTATATCTGTGTATTGATATTCGCTGCACCAGGGCCGCGCCATAGCTCAAGCGGTTAGTCGCTGGCTTCCCACCGCGGCGGCCCGGTTTCTACCCCGGGTCTGGCAAGTGGGATTTGTGGTGGATAAAGTGGCGCTGGGCAGGTTTTCTCTGAGTACTTCGGTTTCCCCTTCCAATCTTCATTCCACCAATTGCTCCACATTCACCCTCACCTATCATCTGGGGCTCGTACAATAGGCCACAAGTGGCCGCAGTACAAGGGACTTGGTCCCACTCCACTAGCAATAAAAAAATACGCTGCACCAGTGTCTGAACGGTTGGACGAACTGTACTGATATTCAAGAGTTCATCCGTCATAGGGTGGTGCACGGTGAATATGAACATTCTAGCTCCAAAAGTAGAGGTTTTTTAAAATGGGCCTCAAAAACCAAATGACGATTTTCTCGAAACAGCTGTGATGATTCCGAATTATGGAGACCATTTCCTTAAATACGACTGCATAGGTTGTATCTCCAAGAAACTAACGTTACGCGCACGTGTTTTCTGGAAACGGGGTTTACCGGTCTCGTGGATTTCATTGTTGTTCGGTATTCAGTAACCAACAACGGTCTACCGAACAAGAATCGACTACGTTTCCAAAGCAAAGTAGTCGAGGTCAATCGCACATTGTACAATGTCTTTGCACTAAATATATAAAACACTTCCAACTAGTGCTGAGGTCAAGAAAACGTGGATCTATACAGCCACTCCCCCTTACGTCTTCATGGCACAGGAACAACTTTATTTACCGTATGTATTGACAAAATGAACTACCGCTTCACATGAAGGCCAAAGACATTCTTAAACATGTGTTGAAAGATAATACAATCACTGGCACACTGCGGTGGACAGTGCATGATTTCACTTTCCGTTACTAATGACCAACTTTCTTTGAGACAGACGATTTGTTTATACAGGAGAGAAAGTTCCGAAAAGATATAGAAGGACGGTATACCCCTACATACACAAACACATTCATTAACTCCTTGTTTTACAAACGTTAAATTAACAAATTTTCACTACAAGGAAAACACCAAACTGAACTAGACCAACAGTCGTCGTTTTCGTATTATGTTGTATATTACGTACTCTTCTCAGAGATTTTGACAGTATTAACTCAAAAGGTCTTGCCTGCCAACGTGGCTTCCAAAGGCACATCCATCATTTTCATATCGGTGTATTACTTCAGGTTACCGTATCACCAATAAATGCTCTGCAGTTAATGATAAATTAATTTTCGTTCACTGAACTTTCTTAACGGACTATTTTCGTAAAACAAGGCAGAGTTTTTTTAGGGATAAGGTAAAGTCAAAAGATAAACTGTGCCTGTAACAGGCCGTGGAGGCCCATAGGGTTGTGAGACGTCGAGATTCCCACATTTTCAAAACAATCGGCTCATAGATGGCGGTGAGGCTGTCAGCCTTAAGGCTCCCATACACCAGAGCGATGGCGGTGGCGGTGGCGATAAAGTCTTCTCACAACAACAACGCGGTGGTAGCGATCAGTTTGAAAAATCGCGTAAGCACAACATCGTAAACGATGCATAGATTATCTCATTTGGAAGAAGCGTTACTTTTGGCAGCGGCAGTTGATGATGAGGAGCAGCAGCAAGCAAGGTAATTATTCCTTTTATTGTGTACAATTGGAGAAAGTTATTACAAATATTAACATCACAATTAATATATTTTTCAGAAAAAAGCGTAAGAAAACGTGGATTCACGACCTAAATCTGCATCGTGAACACGAAGGAGAATTTCATACTTTACATCGGAAAATGCAGCAACACGAAGAACGATTCTATATATTTACTTTCGGATGCCAACTGAATGCTTTGATGATCTATTGGACCTAAGGGAGATATTATGTAATTTTCATTTGACTCAATCCTTCCAGCCGCACTAGGCCCTGGGGTTTACTCAGCCTCTAACAGAAATGAATACCAGGAATTACTTAAAAATAATTTTCTTGGGGAGTAAAGCGCGGCCGGCGCGTAAGGCTGACAACCTTACCGCCATCTTTGAGCCGATTGTCTAGAAAATGTGGGACCCTCAACGTCTCACAACCCTATGGGCCTTCACGGCCTGGTACAGGAATAGTTTTACTTTTTTTTTTATTGTGTAATTTTACTTCTTCAATAAGTTGCTCTGTTGTTGTATTCATTGTTCATGCTAACACACAGCGACGCGGGCAGTGGTCAAACTCGACAAGCTGCATCTGGTGGCCACTGCGGAGTACAACGCTGCTTGTCTGAAAGAGTCTATAAGTTCAGCAGGAAATATCTGACCGCCACCGCCACCGCGATCGCTCTGGTGTGTGGGAGATATATAATCACCACTATGTTTGTAATTATCAGCATATGAAAATGAACACGGAATCTGCAGACATAGTCATGATCTGTAATCTAAATTTCACATTCCTAACTGCAATGAGTTATTATGTACCCCCATTGACTCCCCATGTTGCTTTACAGGCTGAAGAAATTATACATAATATTCGAAGACTGATCGCCATACAAACTTTCAGGACTTAGTATTAGGTGTTACTCCTACCTTATAAATTATAATGGTCAATATATTAGCATTAATCTAATGAAAGGCCATCATACGCAGGGTCATAAAAATTCGCAAATTGGTTCGAAAGTTATTAGGGAGGAAACACACATAGACATGATAATATCATTACGCTACCATTAATTACAAATAAGGTAAGTAGACTAGTTGGGGCCGCGCCATAGCTCAAGCGGTTAGTCGCTGGCTTCCCACCGCGGCGGCCCGGGTACGATCCCGGGTCTGGTCAAGTGGGATTTGTGGTGGACAAATTGGCGCTAGGGCAGGTTTTCTCCGAGTACTTCGGTTTCCTCTGCCAATCTTCATTCCACCAATTGCTCCACAATCACCCTCACCTATCACCTGGGGCTGGTACAATAGGCCAGAAGTGGCCGCAGTACAAGGGACTTAGTCCCACCCCCACTAGCAATAATAAAGAATAAGTAGACTAAAAGAGGATATCCTCTTATCCCTGACGCATTCTTACCATTGGCATTGCAGCGTAACAAGTGGCGCGGTAAATTGCAGGCGGAGACCTTACGAACTAATATGGACGGACCTGCGCTGTATGCTGCAATAAATTTCTGATGTTGGTTGCCATGTCGGTTTTCAGATCCTCTGACTATCCGTGAGCCTGTGAGCATTAAATGTGTACGATATGGCGGATGGGAAGGAAGAAGAGGATGAGGCTTTAGATTTCACGTCGCCAAAATTTAATCCCTTGAAAGCGTTATATTCTAAGAATGTTCGTCTTCCAATCGAAAATGCGCCAGTTTTTGATAATATACATAAATACCACTCATCATTAAACCCTCGTGAGAAAAAGAAAAAGGTATGTTCTCGACTGCAGTACAGTTTGGAGGTTAAAATTGGAAAACAAGTGATCTGAAAAAGAACTTCGCACATTATAAATTGTGTAAGAATGCCACAGTCATATTTGCACACACATTAATACGTATAGAATGCTCGCCCATCCGTTGTTAGTAATGTATACAGGGCAAGTTTACTATGAACTGAAACGAACAGCCGGTAGGGTTACGCCTAAGTACTTTCGTGGTGTTAGCACCGTGTTATATCTTAGCATATAAAAGTTGCGGTATTCAGAATTGTTCCGAGGCAAGGCGTATGGAGTGAAAGTGATATTCAGACGCTGAAGCTAATGATATTTGAAGGCTGCAGTGGTATTATGAACTTCAACTTTAGACTGGGTTCAAGGTCTGTCGCCAGTATAGCAGAGTTCTTTTCCTATAGCAGAAATAACGTAATTACGGTTATACTCACCACTGTGGCTGTCACTGTATACATATTCTTTTATTTTATGATCAGTATTAAGTATTAATCATTATTAATGATTGCATTAAGTGGAGGAACTGTTTTGGGAGAGACTGTGGACCTGTCATCTGACAGATTACTGATGAATGAATGAATGAATGAATATCTAGACAAGGGGTGGGAACATTTTATAGCTGGTAGGTCTGATTAGGGGTTGCAGGTGCTGTGCTGAGTCACATATCAGGAACACTGTTGGAAGCAAACTATGGACTAAATGGTTACTGCTGAAAAAACTGCATGAAATAAAAACTTCTTGTGTTCCTGAGGAAAAAAAATGATATAAAAATAATTTACAAAAATGTTCATAATAGCTCCATGGGTGAATGAAATGCTCCACAGGCCTGATGTGGCCTGCAGGTCGTAATGCTTCCACCCCTGATCTAGAACATATAGTGTCAGCCTGCATATTCTGCTGCTCATCATGTATCCATATTACTAGACCATCCTGTTAAAGCTGAACATGCATTTTATAATTCTGCACCATTCATCACAACAGAACAAGACCCCCATACAATTTTTATTATGTTATCTTTGTTTAAAAATGTCTCGAGTATTTTGTAATTTGTGAGGCGTACATTTGACAAACGCATGTTAAGAATATATAGCTGTAGCCATGGCCAGTGGGCTTAAGCATCACACCATGAAGATGGAGGAACAGAGGTAACACTGCACATTTTTAACTTTGTCTCGGATGGAAATGATTTTCTGATTTCCTCTGGATGAAATAGGCCTTGGTATAAGAGAACAGATGGGCACAGTGTAAAATGAGAAATAATCTCTACCTCTACGTAGAATCAAACCTTAGTCATTCAGGTCCACAGCCTGTCACTTTAACTGAGTGAGCTATCCTGGCTGCTTCTTTTGATAGTCAATGAAATAATTTATTTTCATCAACTAAACTTTGGTGGGATGACCTTCAATGAGGAAACATGAATGCACTCTGCCTTCTAATAGCTGACAAGTCAAGAACGGCATGCTTATTTCTCTGGTTACATTACTGATGTTAGATTAGTTTCCATTTTCTCCATCATGGTTTCTCTCGTACAAGAGCTCTTAATTCTAACATATTTCAAACTGCAAGTAAACATGCAGGTAGCAGAAATATAACACTGAAAGTTAAATGTGTTCTGAGTGAAAGGGAACAATGAAAATCAGTGAAATATCATATCAATGTCTTTCATTCTACCTGAACCTTATGTCACTTTCTTTTCTGTACAATTTACTGATAAAACTCACATCAAGTGATAAACACTCTATTCTTAATTAATACCACAATGTGAAGATTTGTGGGGACCAAGGTAATAGATTCATGCATGTTAACCTCGGCACTGTTCACTGTACCATTTGGGAAAGAGCCTTCAGCATTCATTGGTTAAGAGGCTGGGAGGGCCCCAGAACCTGTATAAACATAGTGACAAAGGGAAAGATCCCATCTCCCACTGGGAATCAAACCCTGGTGGTCCAACATGTGACCAGTCATATGCAACCACAAACAGTTCTCTTATAGGCCAACTACGAACTTCCTGTGATTTAAATATAGGTAAGAGTAAATATGACACAAAACCAAAAGTAAATTATATAACACTGTAATATAAATAAGAGAGGCATGTGCAAGTCTTAAGAGTTTCAAAATCAACTGAAGAAGAAGAAAAGTGAGCCTCAGTCTTGATGTGAATGTTCAATTTTCGGTCTCAAACGTCTAGAATTTTCTGATGACTGCTTTTGCTTTAAGTATTATGTTTTTGGACATTATCCATCATCCTGTCTATTTCTTAAAACACAACATTTCGGAGACTGGATTCTGTCCCCGTCCTCAGGTAAAACCTACTCAGTTGGGTCCAATAGATACAGCTAGTTCCCTATCTCTGAACCGTCAATGTACCATTGTCACACACTTTTAGATCTTATTTGCTTTTGCTTTGTTTTTTGGGGTCTCATGTCAAAAGGGACTGGTATCGTACTGTCTTTCTGTGTCATAGTCTAGTATGGAATTAGGTCATTATTTATTTAAATCAGACGAGTTTCTCAGACAAAGTTTAAGAACTCCGCTTTTAGTGTACAAAGCACTGCCAACCTTCTGTCATCCTATGGAAAAAATCTATACTTGATGGATTTGAGGTTCTCACAGCAGTGATTTTGGAAAGTGCTGTCTTCTGGCAAGTAATGCCATGCAGTCTAATGGAAGGCTACTGATTTCCCTCTAAAATGTGGGTGGAATTCTACTGGGCTATACAGCTTTATGTCCCAGAATATGATACTCATCACTTTATACTTAGTGATGTCAGTGATAGGGTTTGCAATGACATTCACACTGTGATCAGCTCTTGGCCTTGCACCATTCAAATTTCTGCAGTCAAAAATTGTTTGAACGTTCTTGTACTGTCAAAAGCGCCTTCACAATCCTTTTTGTGTGAACTGAAAGTAAATATTAATCCACAGCTTTTGGATACACTTTGGGTTTTGTCAGCACCTAACACAGTGTTGTATGGTACAAGAATTTGCTCAACATTTCACAGTTCCCTTCCTCACTTGTAGTCCATAGTACAGCTGGCTTTAAGTACAAATCTGATATTGTTATGCACTCATTATCTACATGCAAGATTTGTTAGTAAATTATGCTCACAGATTATACCACAAAGTTTATATTCTTTCTGCAGAAGAGGAGCACTATAGAATGAGCAGTTTTTATGCAGGATGAAGCTACTCTGGTTTTAATATTAATGTGTTTGTCGAAAACATGTCAGTATTCACAGAATTACTGATTACAGTGGCTGTGAGGTCTTGAGGTTATTGATCGGAATTTTACTCGTGCTGTGGGTGGCTGTCCGCATTATCTGTTGTCCTGTTAGAGACCTTGTAACAGTCCAATTCTCAATTTAAGGAGTCTTAGAACTTTTTAAACAAAAACAAACTCTGTAGTTCCAGTCCGCAAGTGAACTATACCGACCGAGCGACCGTCACTTGTCGGCGAAGTTAGTGCCAACTTTTGCAGATAGAGGGTGTCACATGGTCAGCACAGTGGTTCCCCATGGCCGTTAATCTCGGTTTTCTAGACCGGAGCTGCTATTTCCTTGAAATAGCTCCTCAATTGTCCTCATGAGGCTGAGTGGACCCCGTTCCAGATCCACTACTTCTCGGAAAACAGGCAGTGCCGGGAATCGAACCTAGGACCTCTGGATCTGTAGCCAGGAACTCTGACCACTAAGACCACAGAGGCGGTCCTAAAAAACTGTTACTTTTATTAAGGCCAAGGCATGACTTTGGCATTGACATTGGCACTAAAAGGAAGAAGTTTTCACCTAATCCTGAAATTGAATTAAACATTCAGTTAACCTTGCAAACGTGGAGGATGCTATCCACATAAGGAAAGATATAAGTTGTGGTTCCCCATGTCAAGATATCTCCCCGCCACACACAAACACACACACATTGGAAAGGTATCAGAATTGAAGAGAATGAAATGTGTTTTCTGCTTGCATCAATTGGAAAACTGCCCTCACACTCCAAGAAAAGATCCAGCTGGAGCCCATGCCATAAAACTATAATGTTAGTCCATGCACATAAATGTGAAATAACAGAAAGCTGAAGTGCTGGGAACCTCAAATCTCAAATAGAATGTTGCCATATTTTTAATAACAGAAGGTTGGTCATGGATGCAATTTTATTTTTAGGTTGATAAGGATAGTGAACCAGGCCCATCTTCAGAAGAACAACCAGTGAGGCGCTTTCTTCCACATCAGCGTAAGTATCTACTTCCTAGCATGTAGTAACTGTCTTGACATTCAGCTGGAGGGATGCAGAGTATTAAACCTCCACATCCTGATTCTTATGTACTAGGTATACTAATCATAAAATAATAATGTAAATTTAATCATGTACTTTGTGTGTGTGTGTGTGTGTGATGGTATTATTGTTACAGCTAAGAAGAACTTTGCAGAAGTGAGATTATGGTGATACAGTAATGAATACCTTGGGGTACAGACTTGCTCAATGGAAAAGAGTGCTTGGAAGCCAGATAGTTGCTTAGTTGTTCTCTTACGGGATATTACGCTTCATTACCAAGTTTGCAAGTTAAAAACCCACCACTGGATCCAATCAGGAACCAGATCGATGCATCCACATACCCTACTCAAAATCCATTTCAGTGTTAACTTATACCCTCCCCCCTACGGGACATGAAGCAGACCATTCACTTCCAGCTAGTGCCAAGATCAAGAAACTGTGGATCCATACATCCACTCCCCCATACGCCTTTATTAGTGTTTAAGCATAGGGAACACTTTACCCCCCCCCCTCACAAACTTTGTTCATGAAGCCGAAAACATAACAAATGCAAGTATTTAACTCACCAGTAATATGCATGACAATGAGTGTGCGACTGTTGATAAAACTGTGACAATTATTCGTGATCTTCATTATTGGTTACGCCAAAGAAATTGTTCAAGTTACAACTTCGTGAATGACGACAGTAACAAAATTGTTTTGTATATATTAGTTACATCTTGTGTATGAAAAGGACAGTTGAGATTTTCGTTTTAATGTTCACACGTGAGCAGGAAAATAGCACGAACGTTCTTATATTGTAAATGCCTTGCGTTTTGTTTCGTAGCAGACCTTGCTGCAACGAAACCTGTTCCTAATTATACCGGAAGTCGTCGTATCTGAATTGAGCAGTAAGCAACAGATGGCGGGAGTATGCTCTTTAAGGGCGAGGGCACACCAAGGAAACTGGCAACTGCAACGCAACCGCAATTTCTCAGAATTGTTATCAGCCTGAGTTGAACACATTACTGAATGGAGCAGCGCAAAATGAGGACACGACAATACAACTCGCGGAAAGACTTGGAAACTCCAGGCAGTGGAGTCTTCTGACAATTGCGCTGCCACCTGGTTTCCTAGTGTCAACTGATTTATAACGCGCTTCAGGGATTCATGTGTTTTTTAAGATGGCACGAAAGGTTGACGAAGCCGCTAATTTGTTTTTGTGCAGTTAATTATATTTGACAAACGCCATCCAGACTGTGCTACGCAGAACAAAATAGATTTGGCTTGGGAAAAAATTTCTCGTGAGACGGAGTCTGGAGCCAGGTTAAGTTCTTTCGAAACAGTACGAATAAGCAAGCGTCTCAGTTTCAATTGTCACAGAAGAACGGATGCACCAAATGTTTTCTTTTCCTAATATTGTATTTAGGCATCCTGCTGCATTGATATATAATTTATTTCACATATATTTCCATCTCAAATACAACTTATTATACAGTCACCCTTCTTCCACATTACATGGTCTATATACGGCCATCATCAGATGTCTTGTATCTTGCTAAAATTGTTGCATTGTATGTCAAAATTTCGTATCGCGTGTGAACGCGTTATTTCCTGACCTTAATTAAAACAAATTAATTAACAACCCTTATGGTCGTCGTCGTCCTCTCTTCTCACGCCGTCTCAATCGGTCTCAATTACTACCGCCACATTTATGACAGGATCAGTATTATTACCTTCCGTTGCAGAAGATAAGTGTACGAAATTACAAAATACAATCGTGCATTACGCCGGACGAACATACCCACATAAGATGATGTGAGCAACTACTCAAACATAAGTTTCCTCAATGTGCGCCTGCTAATCTAGAAACCAGCAACAATTCTCGGAAATTGCGATTGCGTTGCGATCCTTGGTGTGCCCTCGTCCCTACGAGTTAAGAGATCCATTCGAAAATCGCGTGGCTATTGCTATGATAGAATAAGATGTTTATAAGACAGTGCTACAGAGGGCCGTTTGCTAGGCAACGGTTAGGTAAACGCTGACTAAAAGCCGGAATAATAGCAGAAGCGGAAGCCATTCTTGTTAGGCAGCGGGTAAGTAAGCACTTGTTTCCGCGGCAACGAATGTTAACAAAGGCATTCCTGTGACAACAAAAAGAACAGAGGGACTGTTCGACATGGCGACTTCTATCCCGGCCGTGCGGCAGTTATAAAAGGCGCGCATTTGTGAATTCGGGAGCAGTAGTGATTCAGATTCGGACAACAGTCAGAAATGAGTGAGAGATTCTTCATACAGCATTCTTCAGACAGGAGTCGTAACTCATCCGTAAGAGAATTCAGAAGGAGTTCAATGTGTGAGCTGTTATAATTGACTGTAATTGTAAAGAAGTGCGAATAAACCCAGTCATCAAATTCAGAACCCATTATTATTCGTCACGCCAACCCCGTATACGTGACAATACATTTATTAAAAGAAAATAAAAAGAGACAAAACATGTCGATGCCCTTTGTATCGATTTCTGGGGGTTTCAAATTTCATTTCTCATTGAGACTTCGTGGGTTACTAGGAAGTGTGACAGTTTCCCTAAATACTGGGAGATTATAAAAGAAGACTATTTAAGCAGCAGTGTTAAAAATTACATTACGTTTCTGACCAGAAACGAGGGAAAATCCGAAATTTATTTATTTTAGCGTCGTATAACGCGTAAGCAGGTCCGGCTTATAAACTGGTAAGAAGTGACACAACAGTGCCCAACAGGTATCGTCATGTCTAGTAAAAATCCGCTGCTTTGTGACGAGTGGACAGTTACACATTCTGTAGGTTTTCTGTACTTATGTGGTAACAGGCCGTAGAGGCCATTAGGCTTGTGAGACGTCGACACTCCCACATTTTCTAGACAATCGGCTCACAGATGGCGGCAAGTTTGTCAGCCTTACGCGCCGGTCGCCTTTTACCGCCCAGGAAGATTGCTGGTCTTCATTTCTGTTAGAGGCTCAGTCGACCCCAGGGCCATAATGCGGCTGGAAGGATTAGGTCAATTGATAAAAATCCACCTAATAGTGACTCGAACCCGCGACCTTCCCCTTGTAGCATAGTGTCTCAACCAGCTACGCTACCGCGTCCCCCTGTACTTATTGTGGTAAAACGTAAGATATCTATTTTATGATTCTTAGTTGCGTTTCAAAAAGGAGTTTGAAAATAAACATCTGTTATGTAAGCTCTGAGGTTCCTAATGGTGCTGACTGCTTGTTGCTTGTTTGCCCGGCTTATTCCTTGGCCCTGAAGAAGGCTTCTACGAGACGATACGGCTTAACATCCCACAAGCGTTGCTCTTCAAACACTTAACTAGTTCTGTCATAGCCGTCCGTATGTATGCATGTATGTATGTATGTATGCATTTGTGGCATCCGGATTTGGATTTAGTTTGGTTCGTTTGTTTCGTGAACGTTCCATTGACGGATTTTAATAATATTAAATATGCCGTTACGACGCTTCTGCAATAGGACCATTATTGTTTAAAAGTTTGATTTTAAGGGCCTAAGAGCCTAAATTAGTTCATGTATTTTAACCATGTCTTTTCGGAACTTTGACAGGTTTTGATGAACCTTGAAATAAGTTAATAAGTTTGAAGTTTTGTGAGTTACGCCTTATTTACACTTCAATCTCTTTATTGAGAAGTCTAAATGAACATTTACCCATATCTTTTTAAACGTTCTGAAGATGCTGATAAACTATGCGTAGACTACGACATCCTATTAAGCGATTAGTATGGATTTCTATGTTTTTTTCCCCCCTTGGCACTACAGCCCCAGTGGGTCTAGGCCTACCTCCATGAACTTCTCCACTTCTATGTTTTATTTTGGTTTATTTAGCGATTTTTAATAGATACGTTTGTATGGCGTACGAGTACACATTATGAAACATGAGTTTCATTACGCTAATTAGTTTTATGACCCACTCTACTAAAAGGCCTGAGTATATTTTCAGCGTATCTCACTAAATGTTACTCTGAAAGAGAAACAGGAATGGGGGAGAAGAGGAATGCACATAGGATGTTGGTGGGAAGACCAAGGCGTAGGTGGGTGGACAATATTAAAATAGAGTATGAGGGGTGAGCCATAGAAACCTGCCCTCGCACTGCGACCTGCAGTGATCTTGTGCTTCCCCTTTGGATTGACCCTTTATTAATCCTACACTTCGAATGAAATGTAGGACTTTATTTATGGGGGCGTCATAAAAGTCACTTGGTTCCATGAAGAATTGACCCAGGTGGCGATATCTTAGGTAAGCAATGGCCCCACAATCACATAAGATGTGTGTGGCTGATTCGTCTTCTTGTAGGCACCTTTCACAAGATGGGGCGTCTGTCAGCTCCGGATTGAAAAGGTGCCCTTTTAGGTGGCAGTGTCCAATAAGTAATCCTACCACCCATACTAATTCATCTCTGTTTAATTTTAACAGGTCCATCGTTGTTTTGGCAGAGGGTCCTGGTATGAATCCTTTTGCCTGTTTGAGTCCAGTTGTGGATCCCCAGTGTTTTTTGTTATTTTTTTTCTTTACTGCTAGTGGGGTGGGATTAAGTCCCTTGTACTGCGGCCACATCTGGCCTATTGTACCAGCCCCAGATGATAGGTGAGGGTGATTGTGGAGCAATTGGTGGAATGAAGATTGGCAGGGGAAACCGAAGTACTCGGAGAAACCTGCCTCAGCGCCACTTTGTCCACCACAAATCCCACCTGACCAGACCCGGGATCGAACCCGGGCCGCCGCGGTGGGAAGCCAGCGAATAACCGCTTGAGCTATGGCGCGGCCTTCCCCATGATCGCTTTCTTGGCAACTTCAATTAAGATGCCGCAAGCTGGTTCAGCTCCTATGAACGGCTGTTCAGACCCTGTTCTTGCCAGCAGATCTGCGGTTCCATTCCCAGCGATATTCTCCTACTGAGATGCAGTAAGCTGGTTCAGGTCCTGTGAACG